TATGACGGCGGTCTGTAAATAATCGAGTCTGGACCAGACAATCCAGTGATTAATATCATGAGCATCGATATACATGGGATGGCATTTCTTTCATAGGAGATCCAATCGTATCACATACTCGCGTTAGTATGATCTATCATATTAATTGTCATCATGATACACTCAGAAGATAAAGACTACAGTACATTAGATAGTCAATATTTGTATTTACTCCAAACAAATTCGAATTCAAGTGTTCGCATTTCGCCATGGCCAATTCCGACCAATAATTTCGTTTCAATTTCTAAGAGATGAGGTAAAGTGTTATAACAACTGAAGATAACAACAAAGAAATCGGAGTTTCAGTGTTTGTGTGACTTCCCCATGGCAATTACGAATACCATCGCATTCAAGGAATCACACACACACACACACACACACACACACACACACACACACACACACACACACACACACACACACACACTGACACACACACACACTGACACACACACACACACACACACAAATCGTTTCAATTTCTATCACTTATACTGAGAGACTGGTGCGATGAATTGTAATAGCAACTGCGGTAAATTGTAATAACATCTCTCATTCCTTCAATTTCCAAATAAATTCGAATTTCAGTGGGGGTTTTTATAAATAGAATCTTGCTATGTGATTATTGAATTCCCGATAAATCTAATGGCGTACGTAACCGTTAACATGTAAAAGAATAATACAGCGACCAGTAATTTGGTGACATGTGTCATACCATGTACCCCTTATCATTCAGTATATTACGGGAGTAACAGGTGCTCATTCTGACCTGTGATCAACGGGTCCAGAATTTTCCACACATTAACAGTAACCATCCACAATTCCCAATTTAAAGTCGGACAACTCTCCACTCCCAACGATTTCTTTGTACCTTTTCAGAAGGTGTTGTATCTAGTGAGTGAGTGAGTGAGTATGGTTTTACGCCGCTTTTAGCAATATTCCAGCAATATCACGGCGGGGGAACACCAGAAATGGGCTTCACACATTGTACCCATGTCGGGAATCGAACCCGGGTCTTCGGCGTGACGAGCGAACGCTTTAACCACAAGGCTACCCGACCGCCCCTGGTGTTGTATCTAACGTTTACCACTAAGGGACCTCCCATTTGATATTCTTCGGGGGGCCTGTGATTTTGTATGATGATTAGTCATAATTCCAGCTCCGGATGCAGAGCGGGCCGGTCGGGTAGCCTAGTGGTTAAAGCGTTCGCTCGTCTCGGCGAAGACCCGGGTTCGATTCCTGACATTGGTACAATGTGTGAAAAAAGGCAAAACGTCTATAGTGCTCTTTTTCGACAAGATTTAAACTTGAGTACACATCTTGTACCCTTTACTCCTAAAAGTCAAATTCCGTATCGGCCAATAATGATAATACTGATGCGTGTTTATTCTTCTCCGCCCTGGACGAGTATACGAATTTGTTTGGTTTTATTTGACCGAAGCAAACGGCCATTTTGATTTCTCTAAAACCTGTAAAATGAAATGAGAGTGACTTATTTTGGATATGTTTTAAACCAATCGCCTGTCACATTCTGTGTCTTAGCCATGTTTCGTAATGTAAATGACCCATGCAATTTGTACATTTTGTTATTAAAAGAGCTAAAAATGAACCTTGAAACAAAATGGGGGAGAACCGGGATTCGAACACAATATCTTATTCTTCTGGCGTGCCCAAGAGACACAACTATGCATAGCGAATTGCAGCGCCTTAGGCGATTGGGTCAACCGTGCCCCTATACACAACTGTAACAAACTATCATACATCAATTTTTTTTAGATGAGATATTTATTGTGTAATATTCCATTAAGAAACAGTGGCAATATTACACTATTACAAACTACAAAATATATGCACGGTAAGTACAAAACACACAAGTACAGTCAACATACAAAGGAGGTACATTATAACAATTTCATTTTTAAACAAGTGTATTAAAAGGACATGGAAGTAATAGGAGAAATGAGCAACACTATGGTGATGTTGTACATTCAAGGAATTGGTTTATAGTTGTAGACATCACAACAGATCTTGGAAATTGTATCTGGATAACTGTTGGTAAAAGATACTTGAGAATTGTTCCTTTTAACAGAGAGTACCACATTCCTTATCATGATTGAGGATTATTTGTTCAAGTGGTTGTATTTTATACAATACGTTGCTCATCTTTTAAGACATCACATACTACACAAAGACGTTGTTCCAGTCTAGATGGTGTTTTTTGTTGATCTACCAGTGTAAATGTTTAGTTTGTAATTACTTGAAGTAATGAGAAATGTTACCTCTGAGGTTGTGTTTTTTTAATATTGTTGTAGTGCAAACCATATAATACTTTCATTTAAAATAGTGCAAACCATTTCAATACTTATTTAACATTTCATTTATCTAAATACCTAACTGGTTCAATATTTTTCCAAGTGCACCGACATTCTATGCCCTTTGTCTGTTTAAAATATTCAGCAAACATTCGACGTATCCCCTCTTATCATAAGCCCCTCCGGGCAGGACCCTTAATCTCCAGGGCTATCTATAAATTTCAATTAACACCTCCTAACGTCGCCGGATCTTACGTCTATACATACACGTGGGGCAATGACCTTGCCACACGTTACGTAATACCTCGCTCTACAAAACCCGACTGACATGGTCAGTCAGGGAGACAGACAGAAGGTAAGTGACAGAGTCTCCACCCGGGAACATTGGCCACTCGGTCCCGGTGTGCGTTCTGTCACGTTATTATCAACATGTACCTATTCCACCCATCATCAATAAACATGGCTGCTGTCGTCTTAAACTTCATCCCTGAGTTTTGTCATCCGTCATCACCCTGAGCTACCATCCGAGGGCCGAAACGTACGCCCTTGGACAATATGTAAGATAATTCTCAATATTTATAGATTACTTGACCAATCCGTATTTCCTTAACTTTCAGTTGGATATGAGGAAGTCCCTTAATAAATGCTTGAACATATTTTGACATTTGGACTGAAGTGTCCAGTGGATTCATTACATTTATTTGTGTTTATTATTTCAAAAGTTTGTTTTATTTAACCCAGCCAACATTTTGACTAGAAAGATTGATAATTTTCGCCAAATCATGTTTAAGAATGACATTTGTTGTGTTATCTATATAGGACTTGTAGTCAATTATATTTTTCTATTATTGCTACTGATAGTGGGTATATACTAAGTTCTGCCTGACAGGCACATTTATGTGTTTTCCTGCCTACTGGAAGAAGTGTATCAATATTTTTTTTAACATTGCAAAATGTCACATTTGTATTACATAATTGGTTCTGTAAGGGTTTTAACAATGTTATTACAACTTATTGGAATATCATCATCTCCACGTATTCATTATATAAAGCGTATACACAGGGGTATAGGGGAAGCTAAGTAAGGCTATTACATTTAGGAGCGACGTTTCGGTGTAGGTTCTAACATCGTTATCAACCAAGTGCTGTACAGGGTATGAGTCGGATGATGTTGTCAGTTTTAGATGGGTGTCTAGTGATGGGTGGATTTCCTCAATGCGGGTTCTGATGATATAAGCGGTCTCGTCCCGGGATACATCAGTGAACAGGTCGACAACCGCATACCTGATTAAGATGCCTGGCTGGGCGAAGTGATAGATCTTCTTGCAGAAATCAGACGAATCTGCCACAAAGGACTTGGCAGTCTTTAAAGAGGTGCGAGGTGGCGGGCTAGGTACTGGGCCGTGTGGTAATTGACATTGTCTCTTAGACACCCGCCTAACAACTGACAGCATTATCCGACTCATACACTCCTGTATCAGCGCAACATACTTCACCATAAATCAGCAAACGCATGGCCTCCCCACTATCACCCTTGATCACCGAGATATTAATGACCCACCTTGAAGAAAAAGCCCTAGAAACATCCCCAATAACCCCATTCTGCTGGATCCGCAAAGTAGATGACATCTTTGCTATCCTACATCCCAACAATGACCCAAGAACCCGACTGGACCACCTGTACCATGGAGGAATCGTCAATCGTCAGCTACCTTTCCTTGATGTACTTGTACAGAAAGACAACAACAACAGACCCCATACCACTACTTGCCGGACACCAACCCACACAGATCAGTATCTGAACTAAGCCACTTTCAACACGTTTTCACACTATACAACCACTACTCTGAGCAGCTGGTGCAACAGACAATGCAGAGCATCACCAAGAAATATCAGAAATCTCCCCGTCACCCTTTGTGATCAGTCTCTCCTACTTGGAACTGTTAGCCACAAAATCCAGAGACTCTTAAAGAAACAGGGCAACATTGATGTAGATTTCAAGAGAAGTCGCACCATTCAGAACACAATAAAAGCCACAGGGAAACAACCATCCAGCCACAAGCCAGAACCATCAGGAGCAGTGTACCACATTCCATGCAATTGTGGACAAGCTTACACAGGAGAAACATCTAGGCCCCTCAAAACCCGAATTAAAGAACATCAAAGCTCAGTCTCCAAAGATGACTCTATAATTCAACTCTATCAGACAACATACGCGACAACCCAAGCCACGGCATCCACAGGGATAAAAGTCAAAGCACTGCTGCTGGATGAGAGGGCAGTGCTGTTGGGTGAGAGGGCCGTGCTGCTGGGTGAGAGGGCAGTGCTGCTGGGTGAGAGGGCAGTGCTGCTGGGTGGGAGGGCAGTGCTGCTGGGTGGGAGGGCAGTGCTGCTGGGTGAGAGGGCAGTGCTGCTGGGTGAGAGGGCAGTGCTGCTGGGTGAGAGGGCAATGCTGCTGGGTGAGAGGGCAGTGCTGCTGGGTGGGAGGGCAGTGCTGCTGGGTGAGAGGGCCGTTCCACAGAAGAAGTTAAAGCATAAAAGTATGAAAGTGCTTCAAAGTAGATCTGAGGCACTGAAAGATGACAGATGTTGTTGAGGTATTGCCAATACATGTAATCAGACCATTCTAGAAGCACGAGTAGCCCTGGATAGCATGAGATCTGTTTCTTTATTTTCTGTTTAAGTTTGAGTACAGTCATGATAATCATCAGCATCAGCATCTGCATCATCGTCATCATCGTCATAATCATCATCATCATCATAATCATCATCATCGTCATCATCATCACGGGAATTTGTGTGGCCGCACGGTCGGACTGGTTCCCAGTTTTCCCCACCAACTCAGAGCCTGCTCGGTCGGCCATGTCTTCTGATGCGCACGCCTTTAATGTTGGTGACGGCCATGACGACGCCATTGTTGTCGGGGCTGTCCAGGAGTTGTTCAAATGCACTCACCACCTGACTGACCCTGACAACAAAATAAGCAAATAATTAGGAGTCTGTGTTTACACTGTGGCAGTAAAATGTGCAAAATTACCGCGATCATTAAACATGCTTAACAAAGACTATTTAGACAAGGGAAATACTGCTCAGCAATATTACAGCTATACCATAGCATAGTCAGCAATATTACAGCTACATCGACACGTCGTCAGCAATGTTACAGCTATATAGTAACTACGGTGGCCCATAAGGGACATGGAGTCTGTTTTTCCATATTTTGATATTTCACTTACATTTATCGTAACCTTTTGCAAATTAACACGATTTGTCTTACAAATATGTGATAAATCATGTGTAAAGAAGATTTTGAATCGCTGAAAAACGAAACGAAAATGTCAAAAACTAAAATGAAAATACAGAAAACTATTTCTACCGCGGTGATAATATTTACACCGCGGTGGAAATATTATCACCGCGGTGGAAATAGTTTTCTGTGTATTCATTTTAGTTTTTGACATTTTCTTTTTGTGTTTTTGACATTTTCATTTTAGTTTTTGACCTTTTCGTTTTGGTTTTTGACATTTCCATTTTAGTTTTTGACATTTTCACTTTACATTTCAGCGACTCAATAGCTACTTAAAAGTACATTTTCCATGTTTTCGGATGTTTTTATACATGATTTATCACATATTTGTATGGCAAATTGTGTTAATTTGCAAAAGGTTACGATAAAAGTAAGTTAAACATCAAAATATTGAAAAACAGACTCCATGTCCCTTATGGGCCACCGTAAGTAACAGTGTCTTCTCCTGCTATTTTCCTGTTAAAAGATCTGAGGAAAATGGAAACAATTTCGGTGTATGACTTCCGCTGACATTAAGTGACGACATTGTGACTCACGGCATCACCCCCACTTCCGCCATGACTCGCTGGGAATCCTCCGAGTACAGACATCGGCCTTTGCGGGAGTCGTCATGGACGATCATGTCGGTGTCCGTGAAGGTTGGACAGATACACGAGAAGCTGAGGCCGAGAGATGGGAGATGCGGGTTGGCCTGCACATGGACATATTTGATGGAGTTACTGAAGCCAGATTTCTTCAGGGGTAATGACAAATGATGAAGCTTAAAGCATATACGGCACCTCTTAAGTCAAACACAAACAGGTTCCCTGGAAACGATAACTATCCCAGCAGTTGATATCTGTCAATAACGGTACCAGCAGTTGATTTCTGTCAATAACGGTACCAGCAGTTGATATCTGTCAATAACGGTACCAGCAGTTGATTTCTGTCAATAACGGTACCAGCAGTTAATATCTGTCAATAACACTACCAGCAGTTGATATCTATCAATAACACTACCAGCAGTTGGTTTCTATCAATAACACTACCAGCGGCTGATATCAGTCAATAACACTACCAGCTGTTGATATCTAGCAAAACCACTCCCAGCAGTTGATATCTGTCAATAACACTACCAGCAGTTGATATCTGTCAATAACACTACCAGCAGTTGATATCTATTAATAACGGAACCAGCAGTTGATATCTGTCAATAACGGTACCAGCGGTTGATATCTGTCAATAACACTACAAGCAGTTGATATCTGTCAATAACGGTACCAGCAGTTGATATCTATTAATAACGGAACCAGCAGTTGATATCTGTCAATAACGGTACCAGCAGTTGATATCTATCAATAACACTACCAGCAGTTGATATCTATTAATAACGGAACCAGCAGTTGATATCTGTCAATAACGGTACCAGCAGTTAATATCTGTCAATAACACTACCAGCAGTTGATATCTATCAATAACACTACCAGCAGTTGGTTTCTATCAATAACACTACCAGCAGTTGATATCTGTCAATAACACTACCAGCAGTTGATATCTGTCAATAACACTACCAGCAGTTGATATCTGTCAATAACACTACCAGCAGTTGATATCTGTCAATAACGGTACCAGCAGTTGATATCTGTCAATAACACTACCAGCAGTTGATATCTGTTAATAACATTACCAGCAGTTTATATCTATCAATAACACTACCAGCAGTTGGTATCTATCAATAACACTACCAGCAGGTGATATCTGTCAATAACACTACCAGCGGCTGATATCTATCAATAACGGTACCACCAATTGATATCTGTCAATAACGGTACCAGCGGTTGATATCTGTCAATAACACTACAAGCAGTTGATATCTGTCAATAACGGTACCAGCAGTTGATATCTATTAATAACGGAACCAGCAGTTGATATCTGTCAATAACACTACCAGCAGTTGATATCTATTAATAACGGAACCAGCAGTTGATATCTGTCAATAACACTACCAGCAGTTGATATCTGCCAATAATACTACCAGCAGTTGATATCTGTCAATAACACTACCAGCAGTTGATATCTGCCAATAATACTACCAGCAGTTGATATCTGTCAATAACACTACCAGCAGTTGATATCTGTCAATAAAGGTACCAGCAGTTGATATCTGTCAATAACACTACCAGCAGTTGATATCTATCAATAACACTACCAGCAGGTGATATCTATCAATAACACTACCAGCAGGTGATATCTGTCAATAACACTACCAGCAGTTGATATCAGTCAATAACGGTACCAGCAGTTGATATCCGTCAATAACACTACCAGCAGTTGATATCTATCAATAACACTACCAGCAGGTGATATCTATCAATAACACTACCAGCAGGTGATATCTGTCAATAACACTACCAGCAGGTGATATCTATCAATAACACTCCCAGCAGTTGGTGTCTGCCCTGAACGGCCCCAGCAGTTGATATCTGTCAATAACACTACCAGCAGTTGATATCTATCAATAACACTACCAGCAGTTGATATCTATCAATAACACTACCAGCAGTTGGTATCTGCCCTGAACGGCCCCAGCAGTTGATATCTGCTAATAACAGTACCAGCAGTTGGTATATGTCCCAGTAATTGTTAGCTGGCGTATGAGGTCCCCAGTAATTCAAACAAGAAAACAAGTCCCAAGTTGACAACGCCTGTCACTACGGCAGGTGCCTATAATCCACACTTGTGACAACGGTTCCCCCGCAGATCACCAGTAAACGATACCTTTCTCAACGGTGTCCCAGTACTTTATACCAGTACACAACATTCCCCAGTAATAAATACCTGTCACAACATTTAAGAGTCCCGACTTACAGCCCAGCTCCTTGTGAATCCCACGACGCCGAACTTAGTGGCAGCGTACACAGGGGTTGTGTGCACCGGGATGAGGCCTGTTGAAGACAACGACAACTAAACCACAGCAACATCGACAGTGGGCGGTATAGACAGTAACTACATACATGCAAACAGTGGGCGGTATAGACAGTAACAACATACATGCCAGCAGTGGGCGGTATAGACAGTAACAACATACATGACAGCAGTGGGCGGTATAAACAGTAACTACATACATGCCAGCAGTGGGCGGTATAGACAGTAACTACATACATGCCAGCAGTGGGCGGTATAGATAGTAACTACATGCATGACAAAAGTGGGCGGTATAGACAGTAGCTACATACATGACAGCAGTGGGCGGTATAGACAGTATCTACATACATGACAGCAGTGGGCGGTATAGACAGTAACGAAATACATGCCAGCAGTGGGCGGTATAAACAGTAACTACATACATGACAGCAGTGGGCGGTATAGACAGTAACTACATACATGCCAGCAGTGGGCGGTATAGACAGTAACTACATACATGACAGCAGTGGGCGGTATAGACAGTAACAACATACATGCCAGCAGTGGGCGGTATAGACAGTAGCTACACAAATGCCAGCAGTGGGCGGTATAGACAGTATCTACATACATGCCAGCAGTGGGCGGTATAGACAGTAACTACATACATGACAGCAGTGGGAGGTATAGACAGTAACAACATACATGACAGCAGTGGGCGGTATAGACAGTATCTACATGCATGACAATAGTGGGCGGTATAGACAGTAACTACATACATGCCAGCAGTGGGCGGTATAGACAGTAGCTACATACATGCAAACAGTGGGCGGTATAGACAGTAACAACATACATGCCAGCAGTGGGCGGTATAGACTAACTACATACATGCCAGCAGTGGGCGGTATAGACAGTATCTACATACATGCAAACAGTGGGCGGTATAGACAGTAACTACATACATGCCAGCAGTGGGCGATATAGACAGTAGCTACACAAATGCCAGCAGTGGGAGGTATAGACAGTAACTTCATACATGCCAGCAGTGGGCGGTATAGACAGTAACAACATACATGCCAGCAGTGGGCGGTATAGACAGTAACTACATGCATGACAGTAGTGGGCGGTATATAGACAGTAACTTCATACATGCCAGCAGTGGGCGGTATAGACAGTAGCTACACAAATGCCAGCAGTGGGCGGTATAGACAGTAACTTCATACATGCCAGCAGTGGGCGGTATAGATAGTAACTACATGCATGACAATAGTGGGCGGTATAGACAGTAACTACATACATGACAGCAGTGGGAGGTATAGACAGTAGCTACATACATGCCAGCAGTGGGAGGTATAGACAGTAGCTACATACATGACAGCAGTGGGAGGTATAGACAGTAACTTCATACATGCCAGCAGTGGGCGGTATAGACAGTAGCTACATACATGACAGCAGTGGGAGGTATAGACAGTAACTACATACATGCCAGCAGTGGGCGGTATAGACAGTAGCTACATACATGACAGCAGTGGGAGGTATAGACAGTAACAACATACATGCCAGCAGTGGGCGGTATAGACAGTATCTACATACATGCCAGCAGTGGGCGGTATAGACAGTAACAACATACATGCCAGCAGTGGGCGGTATAGACAGTAACAACATACATGCCAGCAGTGGGAGGTATAGACAGTAACTTCATACATGCCAGCAGTGGGCGGTATAGACAGTAACAACATACATGCCAGCAGTGGGCGGTATAGACAGTAACAACATACATGCCAGCAGTGGGAGGTATAGACAGTAACTTCATACATGCCAGCAGTGGGCGGTATAGACAGTAACAACATACATGCCAGCAGTGGGCGGTATAGACAGTAACTACATGCATGACAGTAGTGGGCGGTATATAGACAGTAACTTCATACATGCCAGCAGTGGGCGGTATAGACAGTAACAACATACATGCCAGCAGTGGGCGGTATAGACAGTAACAACATACATGCCAGCAGTGGGCGGTATAGACAGTAACTACATGCATGACAGTAGTGGGCGGTATATAGACAGTAACTTCATACATGCCAGCAGTGGGCGGTATAGACAGTAACAACATACATGCCAGCAGTGGGCGGTATAGACAGTAACAACATACATGCCAGCAGTGGGAGGTATAGACAGTAACTACATGCATGACAGTAGTGGGCGGTATATAGACAGTAACTTCATACATGCCAGCAGTGGGCGGTATAGACAGTAACAACATACATGCCAGCAGTGGGCGGTATAGACAGTAACAACATACATGCCAGCAGTGGGAGGTATAGACAGTAACTTCATACATGCCAGCAGTGGGCGGTATAGACAGTAACGAAATACATGCCAGCAGTGGGCGGTATATAGACAGTAACTTCATACATGCCAGCAGTGGGCGGTATAGACAGTAGCTACACAAATGCCAGCAGTGGGCGGTATAGACAGTAACTTCATACATGCCAGCAGTGGGCGGTATAGACAGTAACTACATGCATGACAATAGTGGGCGGTATAGACAGTAACTACATACATGACAGCAGTGGGAGGTATAGACAGTAACTACATACATGCCAGCAGTGGGCGGTATAGACAGTATCTACATACATGCCAGCAGTGGGCGGTATAGACAGTAACAACATACATGACAGCAGTGGGAGGTATAGACAGTAACTACATACATGCCAGCAGTGGGCGGTATAGACAGTATCTACATACATGCCAGCAGTGGGCGGTATAGACAGTAGCTACATACATGCCAGCAGTGGGCGGTATAGACAGTAACAAAATACATGCCAGCAGTGGGCGGTATAGACAGTATCTACATACATGCCAGCAGTGGGCGGTATAGACAGTAACTTCATACATGCCAGCAGTGGGCGGTATAGACAGTAACAACATACATGACAGCAGTGGGAGGTATAGACAGTAACTACATACATGCCAGCAGTGGGCGGTATAGACAGTAACTACATACATGCCAGCAGTGGGCGGTATAGACAGTATCTACATACATGCCAGCAGTGGGCGGTATAGACAGTAACAACATACATGACAGCAGTGGGAGGTATAGACAGTAACTACATACATGCCAGCAGTGGGCGGTATAGACAGTATCTACATACATGCCAGCAGTGGGCGGTATAGACAGCAGCTACATACATGCCAGCAGTGGGCGGTATAGACAGTAACAAAATACATGCCAGCAGTGGGCGGTATAGACAGTATCTACATACATGCCAGCAGTGGGCGGTATAGACAGTAACAACATACATGCCAGCAGTGGGCGGTATAGACAGCAACAACATACATGACAGCAGTGGGTGGTATAGACAGTAACAACATACATGACAGCAGTGGGCGGTATAGACAGTAGCTACATACATACATGTTACCACCAAATACGGCAGATTAAAATCTGGAGGATTGGTTTTTTCTATGCAGTTGACAACCTACCTTAATGGCGGTGCAAGCACGTGTAGCGGAACATTGGGTTAATTTTGATTACCTGCAGCTGAGGCGATGTTGACGACCACGCCCCCCTGTCCCCCCGCGTCTCGCCTCATGGCCGCCACCGCCTCCTGCGTCCCTACGATCACTCCTTTCTGTCAACAACAACAACCCACGTGTACCTTGTGTAGATCTCAACTCTGCCACGACCACTGAGTGAGTGATGCAGGTAGCCGCCGCTCTCAGCATTGTTCTAGCTACATCACGGCGGGGACTTCAAGAATGGGCTTCACTATTGTGTCCATGTGGAAGTCGAACCCTGGTCTTTGACGTGACGGACCTACGCCTTCACCTCTATATTGGCCCCATACTTTTGAATGTTTCATGTTCAATTGGAAAACAACAATCCATGACAAAGGCGGATAATTACCGCCAGTCCAAATAAGAACAAATCATTCTGTTAAGATAAAGATGAGCCGTTTGTTAATAAAGCTCCATTGTGTTTTTCAGTTCGTACCAAATTGACATCCACCATCTTGCTCCACTCCGCCTCGCTGGACATGCCGGCGTTGTTGACCATGATGGTCAGTTTACCGAACCGACCCCGCGTCGCCTGCACGGCCGCTGCAACATCATCGGGGACATATTGTTATAACTACTGAACGATGTTGGGAACATGTTATACCTGCGGAACGATCTTGGCCCCGTTCCACAAAGCGATCTTTTGAGCGCTACGACTGTCGTAAGTCAGTGTTAAAGAATGGGAGTTACGGTCGACTTAGCGCTAAGATCACTTTGTGGAACGGGGCCCTGGGGAATATGTTATAACTTCAGAACGATCTGGGGAACATGTTACAGCTGCGGAACGATCTGGGGAACATGTTATAACTGCTGAACGATCTAGGGAACATGCTCTAGCTGCTGAACGATCTTGGGAACATGTTATAACTTCTGAACGATGTGGTTAGCATGCTACAACTGCGGAACGATCTGGCTTTGAATTATAGATGACTTCATACACTTCCATTTACTGTGTTGCTCTTATTCTGAAGACAGGGAAACCATGACGCGAAGGGCAGACAGCTTGGTGACATCGAGCCTGCGTTATTCTGCAGTTATGCCGTAAAAGGCGACTTACGGGATCGGGTGGTAAGGTTCGCTGACTTGGTTGAAGCATGTCATCGATCCGAATTGCGTGGGTCGATGCTCATGATATCAATCACTGGATTGTCTGGTCCAGACTCGATTAAATACAGACCGCCGTCATATAGCTGGAATATTGCTGAGTGCGGCGTCAAACAACAAACCAAAACAAACCAAGTTATGGCCTTCCGTGAAATGAGTGCGAACCTTTTACGTCCTCTTCACTTGTGACGTCGCATTTCACGAAGAACACTCGGTCTCTCCCGAACTGTTGCTGGAAGTTCAACACAGTTGCCTCGCCTGTTTGGACTTTGATATCCGCCACACACACCTGTTCAAGTAATAGTGCTAAAAGGTATCGATTTGCATGAATTGTCGTATGTTTTCAATCTTAGTTTTTATCCGAACCACATGAAACGACTTTAGTGACCCCTACCTTCGCCCCCCTTCTCAGCAGGGCCTCTGAGAAGCCCCTCCCCAGCCCCTGCGCTGCCCCCGTCACGAGCGCCACTTCGTTTCTCATCCTGCGTGCCTCCCTGCTTTGTTGGTCGTCTCGTCAAACTATACTGTTCAAATCTCACCACTCACTATACCATTACGACGATCATGCATCAGTCGGATCCTACCACGACTTGATTATACGCACACAACCGCTTCCTGCTGAAGTGTTTAAAGATTAAAGTTTGCAGTGTCAAGGTTTACTTGACCTGTATTCTAAACTAGGTCATGTTCCATAGGGCAATGTCCAATGATAACGTGCGTTAAAAAGATTGTTGAAAATATGTTATATGTGAATTAAGAAAAAGACACGTCTTTTTTCTGAAGCTGAAGGGGATGTGTTTAATATCAAAGTAAATCTATCAAAGGCATCTGCCAGATATTCATATGTGTGCGTATAATAAAAGTGCCCTTGCGCACACACATCCGGGAACCAGTCTGTCAGAGACATAGAGAACGGTAAATCACGATATGGAGCCAAATGGTGACTGGTGCCCTTCTTGAATGAAATGTTTTTATTGTTTTAATATTGTTGAAGATGAATGCCGTGTTATTTTAAATTGTTCAGGAATATTGTTGAGCGTTTTAGACTTTTAAATAAGTGTCATGAGGAAAACTGCAATTTTATCAAAAATGTGTCATTTTAACGCAAAACCTGCAATATATTACATAAAATAGGGTTTTCTACAGCTGCTTCTCCGCTTGTGGTTTTATTCTGTAGTGTAAATATGTGACTACATTTTAGAATAGCCTCTCTTGACTCTCCCAGAGTGGCCCATGTATGTATTCTATTATGTAATATTGGTGCAATGTATTGGGGTGTGACTGTAATAAGAAGTGTGCCTGTTCCTATCTGCCTGTCTGTCTGTCTGTCTGTCTGTCTGTCTGCCTGCCTGCCTGCCTGCCTGTCTGTCTGCCTGTCTGCCTGTCTGTCTGCATGTCTGTCTGTCTGTCTGTCTGCCTGCCTGTCTGTCTGTCTGTCTGTCTGTCTGTCTGCCTGTCCCCTACAAGGAGTTCATATTGGCGCATGAACATCAGAAACTACTTCCAACAAGAGCAATAACGCCATTTGTGTACGAGTTCAATAGTAAACATCGGTACAGCAGCATTCGCTTTTTCTGTTGGTTTTTTTAAACTGATATATCAAACAAATATGTACTTATTTGTTGAAAACCATCTAATTTACTTATTCGCAGCTGGTCAGCTTTAATCTTCAAATGTATATTTCTTATATGCTCTTAAAGTTAGAAATGAACTCACAGTGAAAAGGTATTTTTTGTAGTTTAATGTGTTTACTCAAATGTAAGAATCACAATTGTGATTTGTTTCCTGAATGTGAAATTAAAATAATATTTTGTAACAAAACGAAATTTCTGCTGACATAAGCCCCCAAACACGTACCCATTCCTCAATACAATATTTGTCAACACTGCGGGGCAAGAGAAAGTATACGGTGTTTGTTTTATGTGTAATTGAAAACTGAAAGGACTGTTGTTAAATGTGATTATGTCTTATTAACTATCACTGATTCCTGCAACAGTGTGACAGGGTCGGTATGATATTAGCTTTAGATACAAATACATTTGAAATTTAAATTTTAAAATGGTTATCTTTACTCTTAATTAACCATCAGTTAAGCATTTATTTTATTGCATGCCTTGTGAACAAGTATAATTCTTGAATTAAGTAAGTGAGTGAGTGAGTTGTGTTTAACACCGCTTTTAACAGTATTACTGTTTTATCGTGGAGTGTCAGCTTAATGTGGGAGGAGAGCCCGAAGTGATGCAGGTGTTAGACTTTATCACTTGGTAAGCCTTTTAGCACGGGTATGGTGCTGACACACCTAGAAACATGATCGGGGCGAACCGGGATTCGAACCCACTTTCATAGGTTTCTGGCGTGTCCAAGGGACGCAACTCTGCACATCGTACCCCACCACTGGAACTGCCTCACGACTGAATATTGTAATAACTATTGGTGATCAATAAATGTGACTTTCATACATGTAACTTTGATTTTAAGCACTTATATTCATATATAACGTTAACCATCTGACAGTTTTATATCTATTTAGATAGTTTGATGAATCAAAACAACTGACCAGTGTACACATTAGCTCTAAACAATGACTGCTGACTATCTGCATTTTGTATTCTGGTTATCTTAAAACTCTAGATGTTTGAAATAAGCAAGTTCAGGCGGGATGTGAAACATATGAAATCAAAATTGTTAAGACGATCTTAAACTGCAGAGGGCATGGAGAGTTCTGTGACGGGTTTCGTTAGTCTGGTTGTCTGAAGTTAACATCGATGACGTATGCCTTGTGAGTATTTGATATGAATAAAAATATCAGGCTACGTTGTTCCATTGTCTTTCGTAACGCCTTTATTTCCTTAACAACTCTTAAAACATTCCCAATGTAGGCACAATATTTCATTTGTTTGTTATTTAACGTCGCGCAGCAATATGCCATCTGTATGAGTATGGGCCATAAATAATCGACCAAACAATCACACTATTTATTTGTGATTATATATTGTTTTGAAAGTGGTGGCTAATATTAAACAGACTTAAGCTTGGAAAGCCAAGTTGTACGTCCGTCGAAAAACATGTTACTGTCAATTGAGCCGTTAACTGAATGTGAATAAATGCGCGATTGTTGTATGGAATCTCTCACCGTGCATGGCCCTATCTGTATCGGTGAGTGAGTGAGTGAGAATGGTTTTACTCCGCTTTTAGCAATAGTCCAACTGTGTCACGGCCTGGGACACCAGAAACGGGCTTCACACATTGTTCCCGGGTGTTCGGTGTGACAAGCGAACGCTTTTACTACTGGGCTACGTCCTCGGGGTTGGGACTTACACTGCTTGTGCCTCTGCCATGGGCTTCCTGGCTTCCTGGCTTCCTGGCTTCCATACTATCAGCGCTAATTACCGTGAAGTGTTAGCTTCCATTGACTATTGGGGGCAAGGGTGGCCCAGTCGTCTAAGGCGCCGCGATTCGCTGTGCAGAGTTGCGTCCCTTGGGCACGCCAGAAACTTATGGTTGTGGGTTCGAATCTCGGTTCGCCCCGATTATGTTTCTAGGTTTGTCAGCACCATACCCGTGCTCGTGGGTTTCACCGAAGTGGTAAACATCTGAGACCTGCATCACTTCGGGCTTTCCTCCCACATTTAGCTGACACGCCGCGATATAACTGGAATACTGTTAAAAGCGACGTTAAACCCAACTCACTCACTCACTCACTCACTCACTCACTCACTCACTCCATTGACAATTGCTCATCACCTATCAGTGCCAATTATCTGTTGGCTTCCCTTGTTAAGTTTCCACCTTTTGTTATCTCATTACTTTTGTTTTCTTACATGTACATATATATGCTCTCTGACTCATAGCATTCATTCACCTAATGAAGGAATAAGCATATACTCCGAAACGTTGTGATCCTCATAATAAAGAAGTTGACATCTATAAATTCTCTTCCTGGCAAGTGAAGCGTACATAAAAGCTCCCAGTCATTCCGCGCCATAGATCGTGTGTTGAATGCTCGTTAAATTGAATTGATCTCAGGCAGACATGGAACAAGTGTATTGCTGATAATCACTCCATGTGAGCACATAATAGGAGCAACATTACACAAGGCAGCTGAGGGTATTTTACACGTAGCTTGACCGAAGCTGTATATACATACACCCACTAGTTAACATATATAATACACATACGAGCTATACAATGGGTCAATATAATTTCGCTCCCCGATCAAAACTCTTGGCGCACTGCTTCCCTAACAACAGACGGGGTGTCCATGCACCGATCGACCACCCACGGCGTGAGTCGGTGGAGCCGGGTGCCTCATAGGGAATCTTTGCGATTGATATTGTATTTAGTTTCACCCGACTGACTCAGCCACTCTGCCTGAATTAGGGTCAGTCATATGGTGGCTCCTTCAATCTCGCTGTAGTAGTGTTGCTGTGGCAACCTGAATAAACACTTTCACAACACGCTGATATGTAATAAGGACACAGTTTATCATGGAGTTAGATGGGATGCAAATAATGGCATGAATTATTGCCTATATCTAGTAACGCACAGACATTAAGACATTTAATCATACAAAGTATCTGTGTAAAAAGGTTACACGTGACAAACTGGACGTGGAACGCCGATTTAATGGAAGTTGGCTACTCGTTAAAAAAGGTCCTGACTTTAAAATATTTTAGAAACTATGATTTTGAGTAGTGTTCAAGTAAAATGAAATAACTTTAGTAATCAGCAGACAATCTGTAGATGTTCTGAAATGTGACTGTGCAGTTGTGTCTCTAAACCTGAGTTCAAATCCCAAGTGTCATCCTTGGTTTGTCACAACCCTAACCGTATGTCGGGTATCACTTCGAATCACTTCCGGTATTCCTTGACCATCAAACTGACACGTCAGTTAAATGAATACATAATTGTTCTAAGTAACATAAACACAATTCACTCCCGCGTACTCCTAAAACCGAGGTTCGGTAAGTTCTTCCCATTGAGCAGATTGGTGGAGGAAACAGATCTAGAAAAACATAAATGTCTAAATCACCTGTCCTAGCCTTTAGACAAATATATTGAAACATGTCTGATCTGTGAATGTGACTTTAATGAGCACATATACAGCAGTGTCCACGAATCTGCTACGGGTGGTTTGATTACACGCGGGCACTATGAAGATAAAAAATCTTAGTTTAGTTGTTCAGTCCTGTCAATGGCAATTTTTAATTTACTCAGTTAAAACAATGTAATCCGTGAATAAAGTTGGTGGATTACGTCTCCGTTGACGTCTCGGGAATAGGTCCCCCAATCGATGTCCCAGGAATAGGACCCCCAATCGATGTCCCGGGAATAGGTCCCCCAATCGATGTCCCGGGAATAGGTCCCCCAATCGATGTCCCGGGAATAGGACCCCCAAACGATGTCCCAGAACTAGGACCCCCAGTGGATGTCCCGGGAATAGGACCCCCAGTCGATGTCCCGGGAATAGGACCCCCTATTGATGTCCCGGGAATAGGACCCCCACTCGATGTCCCGGGAAGAGGACCCCCTATCGATGTCCCGGGAATAGGACCCCCAGTCGATGTCCCGGGAAGAGGACCCCCTATCGATGTCCCGGGAATAGGACCCCCAGTCGATGTCCCGGGAAGGGGATCCCCAGTCGACGTCCCGAGCAGAACCGACCCCTGCGGCAATTGCATTTTTCCCACAACGTCCGGCTGTGTCGAGAGTTTTGAGAGCGTATGTCGTCTGAAAGTGTCGGAGTTATGTAGTATATTGCTGACCAGCGAGGCGTCCAGTACCGTGTGCAGACCGGAAGTAATGGTAAAGCCCTCCTTGTCCTGAGACCGCGGGGGCTTCATACATGAGCACACTAGAGTCATAAACGACTGTTTGAACTTTTTGTTCATGGTTGCTATGACGACAGGATTAATCACACAGCACAGGAAGGACAACCAGACGAGTGACGTCACCAGCGCTTCCGGTAAATGCGAACAACAGGTTTGGTGCACGATCTTAACTATCGATAATGGGATACAGAATACTGCGTAGGCAAGAATAATGGTGAACAAGGCTCTCATAGCCTTCAGTGTGTTTCGGCCATAGTGACCTGGCCTTAGTGACGAGCGAAGCCGGGGCGCTGGCAAAATAGCAAATACTCGATGGTGGGAAGTTGCCTCTTTCGCTATTTTGGCAAGCATAACAGCTATGGCAAACGCTGGTAAAACACAACCAAATAATTCCTTGAAAAGCATATGCGATGAATGGCTGTCTCCTAATAACATGCACAGAGAGAACTTTCCAACAAAAGTGTACAAGCCTTTCCCGAAAAAGGGCACGAGTGCAATAAGAGTACTCTGGCTCCAAGCGACCATCGTCAGCATTAGAGCTGTCCGTGACGTGATGATGTTATTGTATTTCAGGGGCGTTGACACTGCTACACATCGGTCCAGACACACCATCACAAGGCTGTAGGCGGCGCCGTTCCTGCCCACGTTGTAGAGGAAGCCTGACACTGTGCAGAAGGTGTTGGAGAAGGCCCAGGAGTGATGTATCCGGGCCACGGCTGCCCACGGGACGGCAAACACAGCCACCAGCAGCTCGGCGACTGACAGCGACACCAGGAAGCAATTGGTGCACGTGTGCAGGTATTTGGCTCGGCAGATGACGTAGATGAGGAGGCTGTTGAGAATAATAGCCGTCACGGACAACGTAGACGCCAAGGCGGCAAGGAGTATGTTGACGTTGTTGTCCCTGTAGGTGATGTTACCGACACTTGGCATCTCAGTGGGCGCCGGCGGCTGGTGCTACTCCATCCACGCCCCGAAGCAGGTCCTACCGTGTGCAACGTCATGGGGTCTTCAGGCTGCAAATGGAGGACAAAGTAAAGAAATTATATATGAGACCACGTTGAATTATTCCCAGCCTCGCGCTTCTCAAGGAGTGGATGATACTTGTGAACCTGTGAATATCCGGGTTAGAATAGGTCTTCAGCAACCCATTCTTGTCGTAAGATGCGACGAACGGGATCGGGTGGTCAGGCTCCCTGACTTGGTTGATGTATGTCACCCTACCCCAATTGCCTTGATCGATGCTCATGATATCAATAACTGGATTGTCTGGCCCAGACTCGATTATCTACAGACCGCCGTCATATAGCTGGAATATTGCTGAGTGCGGCGTCAAACAACAAACAAGCAGAACAAACTCATGTGACTGTGACATTGCAACGTGTATAGTTTATCACAGTCGCTTCAATCTGAGATTGACGGCCTACGTCATCAGGGTCTATGTTGTTCAGTTAGAACCAAACAGTAGGGTTACATGAAGACATGGTTGACTTAAGGATACATGTTTTAACTCCTTTCTTGTTTCAAGGCGACGTCTCGGCACAGGTGACGGTACATTTTCAAACTGTAATTAACGAGTATTCAGCGTCATTAATGAATGGTCACATAGGTTTGTGGGGTGTCAAACATGAACATCGGTCTTTCCAACAATAGAAGATTTTGAACCATTGATCACAGACATCCACTCACATATCACTGTAACACTAACCAAAAACATCGACAAGCCTGTTTCACCCCAAGCGTTAAGACCAGAGAACGACACAAGCCCCCGCCTTTGAAAATGGAATAGGACGCTTGCTACTGAATATGTCGTCTCTATTGACAAAGGGGTTGTACAATCCATTGAATCTGAGCTACTTTGTGCCATTTTTGTAATCAAATTGATGTCATAACAAATCTAAATTAAAAAATATGTAATGTGCTTCTTCATACTGCTGGCAAATTGTTCGGATTTGTTAAAAAGAGTAAGAGAAAATCAAAATCCCGCAAGCGCTCTCAAATTTGGTTTGGTAAACAATGTAAAATCGCCTTTGCAAAATACTTTGAGGCCAAGAGATAATTCAACTGTGGTCAAACATTCCAAAATAAACAACGACTAGTTAATGCAAGTAAAAGTTATATAAAAAACTGCATTCATAAATTTTCAAATATACATTTCTTTTATAAAACTCAAGACAAGTTATATAATGTTGAAAGAAATGACCTTCGTTCATCATGGAGACTTCTTAAGCGAAGGCAGTCTGGCGATGAAAACCTACCAGGTAGTGAAATATTATTCAGCTTTTTTCTATCTTTGAATGAAGTTTCGGCAGATGACAACTTTGTTAATCTACGTGAAGTAAACATTGACGAAAGCACAATACTTAATACAGCTATAACAAGAGGTAAAATTGTTAACTGTGTGCATAATTTAAAAACTAACAAAGCTGCTGGTCTTGATAATATAATTGTAGGATTTAGTTCAACCACCACTGATGTCTTTATAGATATTTATATGAAACTCCTTAACACGGTTCTTGACGCTGGTACATTGCCAGCAAAGATGGTCAGTAGGGTAAAGGTGACCCACAAAACCCCGAAAATTACAGACCTTTCACCCGGCTGAGCTGTCTTGGTAAACTATTTACAGCAGTTTTAAATAACCGTTTGCAAACATTCATCGAAACGAACTCCAAAGTATCGGAAGCTCAGGCAGGTTTCAAAAGGGTTATTCTACCAGTGATCACATATTTGCTTTATATAACCTCATGGAATTATTAAAAGTTGGGAATAAGAAATTATTTTGTGCGTTTGTAGAGTTTCAAAAAGCATTTGATACAGTTTGGCGATCAGGACTTCAGCAAAAACTTTTACAAAATAACATATCTGGAAACTATTTGGTAATTTAACAAGTTTCTTTTCATGTAAATCTGGAGTAAGACAAGGAGAAAACCTGTCGCCTGCATTGTTTGCAATATTTTTAAATGACCTCGAAGCGGCACTTATGTAAAGGTGTCCAATTGAAAACAGATTCTATGATCGAATCGAAAATGTTATCACAATATTTGTATTACTGTACGCAGATGATGCAGTTTTATTGGCCACAAATGCTTATGATCTAAAACATATGTTAGACTCATTTCATAACTGTTGTATACATTGGAGGCTTAAGGTTAATATTACCAAAAATAAATATTCATATTTGGTGGATCAAAATATGATTATAAACATAATTTTAAAATTGGTCATGATGTTTTGGAAAAGGTTTATTCCTATAACTACCTTTGTATTACCTTTAAAAAAAAAATCAAAATTCACTTTAAGAAAGAAAAAGCTAATAGAACAAGCAACGAAAGCTATGTTTTATGCCAAGGACGGAAGTCACTTAAATGTCAACTGCGGCTTTTTAACAATATGGTTATGCCAGTTCCTCTCGAAGGATGCGAAGTATGGGGATTTGAAAAACAAAACAAAGGTGTCTTTAAGAAAATGTACTCCAAATTTCATGGGACATGGGAACTTGGAAGACTTCATCTATCAAACATCGCTCAAATGAGAATGATAAGATTTGGGGCAAAATTACCTTCCGGGAAATCATCTTAATTGTTCTTTCTTGTATACAAGTTGTTATTTAATGACGACCTATTTGGAAAATGTAAACATAAATGGATTACATATGTCAAACGAACTTTTGACGAACTTGGACTTAGCTACATCTGGTTTTCACAAAGTTTCAAAAATCCTACTCGTCTAAAACATTTAGTCCATGAAAAATTAAATGACATGAACCTACAGTGTTGGACAAGTGCAAGGGATAAGTCTTCAAAAGGCACAATGTATAGTAGAATCATAAATAAAGATTGCCTAAATTTTGAATATTATAGAAACGTACTGCAGAAAAACGTTTGGCGAGTCTTACTTAAGTTTAAAACTTGTAACCATAATCTACCCATTGAAACTGGTAGATGGAGAAAAATACCTTTAACCGAAAGGAAATGCCCACTTTGTAAATTTTCAGACAGAGGTGGTGAATTCGATTATTTCTTTATTTGTCCAAATCCTGTAAAATCATCGTGCCATTGTTTAAACCTATCAAGTAACACTCCCCGTCATTGAATTGCACACATATTGCTACCCTAAAAAATCTGTATTAATATGCATGCATGCTCGGCAAAGATTTTTTTGTATCTATTCTATAATTTCTATGTATTATGTTGTTGAAGTAATTTGTACCTCTGATGCCGCTGATAGCGGCCTGGGTGTAAACAAAAGTTCAGTTCAGACAATGTGATTATCAGCTGAAGAACATGTTGTGCCACACTGATTGGATGGTGTTATGAAACTGGACAAATGGACAACGACCATTGAAAGTAATGAAAAGTGCAAGATTGAAGATGATGTACAAAGCTGTCCTAAACACTCTTGAACGCAACCAGTGGTTTACCTATGCACGTGTAATACGTGACAAGTAACAGTCAATATGGGTCTAACATAACTCACTCCAGATGCAGCTGTCCCAAACACACTCTTGAACATAACCAGCGGTTTACCTATGCACGTGTAATACGTGACAAGTAACAGTCAATATGGGTCTAACATAACTCACTCCAGATGCAACTGAACTACACTCTTCAAAGTTAAAAATACGAGGGTTTTTTAAATACTGTTACCTCTTATCTGACTGACCTCTCCATAATGACGCTGAGTACATATACAGCTAATTAATAGCTACGATTACATAGACACAGCTAATTAATACCTAAGATTACAAAGACACAGCTAATTAAAAGCTAAGATTACATAGACACAGCTAATTAATAGCTAAGATTACAAAGACACAGCTAATTAAAAGCTAAGATTACATAGACACAGCTAATTAATAGCTAAGATTACATAGACACAGCTAATTAAAAGCTAAGATTACATAGACACAGCAAAATAATAGCTAAGATTACATAGACACAGCAAATTAATAGCTAAGATTACATAGACACAGCTAATTAATAGCTAAGATTACATAGACACAGCAAATTAATAGCTAAGATTACATAGACACAGCTAATTAATAGCTAAGATTACATAGACACAGCTAACTAATAGCTAAGATTACATACACAGCTAATTAATAGCTAAGATTACATATACACAGCTAATTAATAGCTAAGATTACACAGCTAGTAAATAGCTAAGATTACATAGACACAGCAAATAAAATGGATAAATGATGACACGTGATGACGCCCAGGGGCGATGCCTGTAACAAGGTGCTTGATTGCAGTTTGGGATTCTCTCCAGTGTACTTGGTGACGGGACGTGTGGCTGTTGAGATTAAGATCAAATCCATGTCAACTTTATCTTCACTGAGCTTCTGAAATGACACTTGAACACAGAGTAATTAGGACCACAACTATTGGACACGCGATTGTCATCAATTCTGTTCAAATCAGATCCTTTACATGGGTTCGATACCTCCCTGTGCGAAGGTGAACGTTATAATCAGCGAAACCTTTTTACCAGCATATCTGATTTCCGTATATCGAAAACGAACTTAAACGACCAGTTCCGAATGTAGAACTGACGCCACGACATTGGGTATTTTACGCACCCTGTCATTTTTTAGCGCCATGAATACTACACAAAAAAGTGCACCATGAAAGGAATGTTTGTGTTCTGTGTGGTATTTGTTTGTACAAATCAACATTGATGATTCAAAGCAATCGAATCAAAGTGGTAAACAAATGAAGCCGTTTCAGAAAGCTGGCATCTGATTGACTCGAGAACCCACGCATCCTTCATTTAGACCGGACGATCACTGATGAGGCTTCCTTTTGAGATGGCGTCAGACCTTCACGCGGCCAGGTATCGTATTGGAGTGAAGATCGGACTTAAAGGTATTGATTTTCTCACGCGGACAGGTATCGCATCGTGATAAAAATCTGACATAAAGGTATTGATTCCCCCTCACTCCGTGAAACCGGCGTCCCCTTGGGCTACAGCGGAAGGTGTACTGCAGTTTTACTTGCTTCATACATTCCCA